CTGTCTTTCCTCTTCTTACATACATGGAGAATACTACAACTTTTAAAATTAAGTTTATGCTTCTCTTCTTGTACACTTCTCTTTTCCCTACAGTTACCACTTAATTTTGGTTTTGTGTTTACCTGGATATCTAGTTTAGCTTTTGAATTTGATCATTTTTGTTACTTCTTTTCCAGATGCTCAAACATATAATCCATTCGTTTTATTATTTTCTTCTGAAAGCCTCTGTCCCAGAGCCTTCTGTCCTGTCCTCCATTCTACACAGATCGCTTTCTCACTTCGCTCCCCATGATCCTCCTAGGACTTCCTTTTACCCCCTTTGCGTGTTGTATACCCTCTATCCATGATCCCAGACCTTCCATTTTTCTCTACTTTCTCCTTTTGCTGAAGCATCCTTGGTAGCTTTCTGGTATCTCTGAGTCCTGCACGTGCCAGGGTTTTGCAAAATGAATCATCTCTTTCTCATCATGAACTCCGTCTACATGGTTGCAACATCTACTCTCAATAGTCACCATGGAAGTATCCAGTTTCCTTTTCACAGAGTGTCTTCTCCTCAGATGTCTCTTCTCACACTATTCTCTCCCTCATGAATTTATTCCTCTTTTAAATTTCTTTAGTAGCAGTTTAGTGGGATCTCAGGAAAGAAAAAAGATAAACTTATGTGGCCCATCTCCATACGTTTCATTGGGTGTCCAAGTTTAACTTTTGATGATTAATTTGCATGGAGGTTTAAGTAAAAAATTAAAAATTTTATTTAAAATATATTTTCTGCCTTAGGGAAGTTATTTCATTTTGGTGGAGGGTGTATATTAGGCTGTAAATAGGATAGCAGGATAGGGTATATGTTCCAAGGCTATGTCTTGGAGCATATACCCTACAGATAAGGGGAGAGTACTGAGAATACACTGAATACTATTTCTTGATCTTGGTTAGCCCTCTGTATTCACAGCTTCTGCATCTGCAGATGCAATCAACTGGGGACAAAAATATTGGAAAAAAATTAAAAATAACAATATAATAATAATAGTAAATACAATAATCCTAGGCTATTTTATATTTAAAATTTTTAAATATTATATGACAACTATTTACATAGCATTTACATTGTATTAGATATTGTCAGCAATCCAGAGATAATTTAAAGTATATAGAAGGATATGCTTAGGTTATATGCAAGTATTGAACCCTTTTATGTCAGGGACTTGAGCATCCATGGCTTTTGATATCTAACAGGGAGTCCTGGAACCAATCCCTCCCACATACCAAGGGACAACTGTGTATGCATGACCAAGCTCATCTTCCAGTTTTTAGTTTACCTCTATATTTTTAAATGTGTATATAAAATTTTTTATTATACAGATGTTTTATAATTACCTTCTGTTGATTTTATTAACTTTATTGTAATTTTTAATATTATGGTTTGGGGTTTTTTTCAGTTTTAAATTTCTTTTCCTCCCTCAATACTTTATTTATTTTACTTTATTTATTTTGAGGCAGGGTCTTACTCTATTGACCAAACTAGAGTGCAGTGGGGTGATCATGGCTGACTGCAGCAGCCTCAAACTTCCAAGTTCAAGTGATTCTCCCACCTCCGCTTCCCAAGTAGCTGGGTGTATAGGGGCTCACCACCATGCCTGGCTAATGTTTTTATTTTCTGTAGAGGCTGGATTTCCCTGTGTTGCCCAGGCTAGTCTTGAACTCAAAGCGATCCTTCTGCCTCAGCCTCCCAAAGTCCATCGTGCCCAGCCTCAATATTGTATTTTATTCTTTTATTTCTTTTTTTTTTCTGTTTTTTATTACTTGAATTTAAAAATTAATTTGGGGTAAATCGATGTTTATATGATATTGAGTCTTCCCATTCGTGTGTATGGATATGGTATATTTCTCCATTTATTTGTGGTTTTCAATAAAAGTATAACATGACATTAAAAACATCCACATCTTTTAAAGTATTTAGTGTTTTTGTTGTCATTGCCACTTAAAAAAAAAAACATTTTAATTGGTTGTTATTTGTGTGCACCAACCCTCTTGATTTTTTGTGTATATTGAACTTGTATCCAGTAACCTTGCTGAATATTCTTATTAATTTCAAGTGCTCGTCAGATTTCCCTGAATTTTCCATAGATGTAATTATATTGTGTAAAAATAATTTACACAATCTTTCCAATGATTACACAACTTTTTACTTATTTTATTGAATTTGCTAGGAATATCAATAATATATTCTGGATGCAGTGATATTGAACATCCTCTCTAGTTTCATCCTTAATTATAATATTTCTAACTTTTCACTTTAAATATGTCATTTGCTGTAGGATTTGGTGGACGTTCTTTATCCAATAAAGGAAGTTCTATTTTATTATTAGTTTGCTTAGCATGTTTTTCAAAATGAATACTGAGTTATACACTTTTCTTTAAATTTTGAAATGGTCATAAGCTTCTTTCCTTCATTAATCTGTTAATGTGGTAAATTACACTAATATCTATCAATATCACAGCTATTAATAAATATGGATTACATTAATATTTTGTTATTAAACTACCCTTGTGTTTATTTAAAAAAATTCTTAGTCATGATTCCTTATCTTATAAATTGCTTGATGGCATTTGAAAATATTTCATTTCATATTTTAGCATTTACAGTTCAAAGTCAAAAGATCTATACCTTTATATTTTCATCCAGGTTGAGTATCAAAGTTTCAGCAATCTCGTAAAATATACCCAAGCACTTTCCTCTCTCTCTCTTTTTTTTTTTTTTTTTCCTGTACAACTGGTTGTATCCGGAACTCAATCCTAGGCTATTTTATAAATGATTGGAAAGCCATATTCAATATCTGTTTCTTTCTCTTTCCCTAGATTTAGACATATGCATTCTCCTATCTGTAACATCTTTTTTGGCACTTTCCGTCTTATAAAATCATCATCATTAAGATGAACAGAGAAAATCCAAAATTATCTCTAGGTATTGTTTCACACTCCGGGAATGTACTTAAGGAACCATATGGACCCGGGGAAAGATTTAAATGGAAGAGAAAAAAATGAAAATGAAACTTCTACATTTTATTACTAATATAAGATTTAAAAAGTAGGACACCACCACAATCTGTACTGGGGTTGGGGAGCAGGGATGAATATTTTCCAAGTGCAAAAACCGTAGAGGGAAAGCATACCATTTAAAACATATTGCAAAGTTAGAGAATCTTCAAGTTTCTACAACTGTTAGTGCTGCCTGATCTAAATCATTTTCTAAGGAGCATGTACAAAATATATATTTTTTCACGTTAACATTGGAATTTAACAGGTATGCTGCTTTTAATGTCGACTGCATTTAGAGTAGTGGAGGCAGCAGGTGGCAGTAGCTCCCACTCCAAAAACTGGGAATTGGAGCAAGTCTCGTAATAATCCAGGGCCTTCCCTGCAGGCCAGCCTTTCTGTAAAGTTTCTTTGTGTCTATAACTGCTCATTTCATATGTGGGAAAAAGATGATATAATGCGTAAATTCCACAAAGTGTGGAAAACAAACAAGAATTTTTTGTGTGTACCTTCTTTACATAGAGAATGAATAAACAAACTTATGAAAGAGACGGGTCTTCAGCTTTAGAATTTCTCTTTTTTATTGAAAACGCCCAGTGCCTTTTCACGCTTCCTAGGAATTTCCCAGTTCTTTTTTTCATGCATTACTTTGAGTCTCACTCCAGCCTTCCCTTCCCAGGAAAGTTGACCATATTTTTAGACTTTTTTGCTACCGTCATTAATAACACTGGATAATAATATTAATACTAATGATTGTTTATTGAACATGTGCTCTGTGATAAACTCTCTTCCAGAAGCTTTACATATTTTATCTCACTTCATCTACACAGTAACTTAATGAATTAGACACTACAATTATCCTCAATTTATAGATGTGGAAACTGAAGTCCTGTAACCTGCCTAAAATCACACAGCTAATCACAAAACCATTCGCCAGAATACTGCAAGCGACAGCTTAAAACTCAAAGGACTTGGCAGTGCTTTCTATCCCTCTAGAGGAGCCTATTCTATTATCGATAAACCCTGATACACCTCACCACCTCTTGCCCCCGGCCTATATACTGCCATCCTTCAGGAAGAAGGCCAGAAGAACAATGGAGGCTAACTGACCCTAGAGCCTTTGCTGTTCATCATGACGCAGGGTGTGTTAGTCAGGTAGACTTATCACTGCCAATACCAAATATTTTCATTCCACTAGGATGTAGTCTGTTTCAAACTGTTTAAAGTGCAAATAGTTCCAAAATTCCATTGAGAAATACATCTACAGGTGGGAATTTGAGGCCACTGTCTGTTGGTTCAGCACAGAAAAAATATGGGAATGAATAAACCAAGAAGATAAATCTCAACTTCTTCACTCATCATCCGCAAAAGCTTGGCAAGTTATATCACCATCCAGAGCTTGATTTTCACCATGTGTTAAATGGTGATAATAATACTTGTGTTATTGTGAAAATTAAATGAGATAACACAGTAGAGTTTCCAAAAGATAGTACAACCACAATTAGTATTAGTTCATGTTTCCCTCCCTCAATAAACTGTAGTGCTGATGAAATTCTTCCTGGGTAGGTTAAGCCTGAAAAAAGAGGGGAATCAACAGCAATAATTGGGTGTTATTAATTTTTATATCTGCCTCAAAAATTATCTCAACTAGTGAGTGCATAATAAATGCTTGCTATTAAATTGATGACCAAATAAACAAATTCACAACTACATAGTCTGGATATTTTACATATGTAAAAATAGAATCTCTCCAAGTATTGATGTACATTTTAGAGGACTGGAGTTAAGAGATAACGATTATGCTCCTGGGAAATTTATTTATGATTACACAAGATAAATGGGAGCCCCTTATTAATTTCTGGCTTGAGGACACTCAGTTTATATTTGTAATACCATTTCTTGTTATCTGATATACTGATGCTTGAATTTATTTAACCATTTATCAAGTTAACTGATTCTTCTTCTAGACCAAAAACAGAAGATGCTTGGGTATTTGCAAAGCCCAATGCCATTCAAGCGGTTGGGGTTATGTCTTTTGGTAAGTATGTGGTTTCGAAGGCCCTTTCTTAATATGGAGTTGTCTGTTCCATGAAAAAAGTGCTGTGTTTCATATTTATGTCTGGATAGCAGATGTCCTAAGTTGTAGATTTCCTATTAGCAGCATATGATCTAGTTTGTGCCAATATAAAATTAGGCTCAAACTTTTCTCCCTCATCACTAAAATTTGCTTCAATTTGGAGAAATCCATTTCTTATGCAGAAAACTCATTATAGTCATCATGTTTCTTAACTTGGAAGGCTAGCAAGTGTTATGGACTTCTTCAAACCTTGCACACAAAGTATTATAAATTGGCCAGATGTCTAAATCTACTTTATTATGTCCCAGATGGCAAAGGAAGCCACGGAATGAAAATTATGGTATTTAGATTTTCCTTAAGATGGGAAGGGTCATTAGGAAAAGGAAAATGAGAGGGAAGGTTGGACTGGCCTGGTTTATATCAAGAGTGAAATGAAAAGATCATATAAGCCTGATGTGAATGAATGGTCTCATTTTTAGAGTTATTAGAAAAATTATTTTCTGACATATTAATACATTCATATATTTAAACTTCATTTCATTGGCATCTAAAGTAGCACATGTCTTTGAATTTCAGAACTAGAAAGAAAACCCTAGTGCTTGCTTTAATAATGCTCTCTTTTTTTGTATTGCAGCATTTATTTGCCACCATAACTGCTTCTTAGTTTACAGTTCTTTAGAAGAACCCACAGTAGCTAAGTGGTCCCGCCTTATCCGTATGTCCATCGTGATTTCTGTACTTATCTGTATAGTCTTTGCTACATGTGGATACTTGACATTTACGGGCTTCACCCAAGGTAAAATGAGAGAATCAGTTATGGCATATTTTAGTGTTCACGTGCATTGGTACAGGTATACCCAATGTTCTGCTTATTGGTACAGGTATGCCCAGTGTTCTATTTCAAAGATTACTCTCTTCCACCCATTCTCTCTACCCTCCTGCCTCCCTGCTGTTGGTTTGCTAATTTTTACCTTTTTAAACTCCTCAGTTTAGTTCTGTAGCCCATACCCTCTCCTTCCACACTGTCACTTCCCAACACTTGATTTTTGGCTTTTCTCCAGGGCAGCTTCATTTTCAAAGGTACCAGTGGCCTCCCAATCTTCAGAGCAAATAATCTTCTCGATTTGGATTCTCTTTAATCTCTCTGAATCACTTAACAATACTGAACTTCCTTTCTTTGCTCAAATTTTTCTCCCTTAGAGGAAAGAACATTACTATATTATCATTGTTATTCTTTCTCTCTGTTAAATTTTTTCTTTCTTTTCTTTTTATCTACCCTCTCTAATCCCCCACTCCACTCTGTTCCATGCCACCCAGATAATGGTCTCAAGCATATTGTTTGCTCTTCTCTCAACAAATTTTCCAGATGCTTTCATTGTTTTAATTCTAACCCGGACTTTTCTTTTTGTCGCCAACCTGCTGCCTGTAGGACATTTCTACTCAATTGTTCTATATTTGTCTTAATCACAAAACATCATGTTTCCCTGTAAACCAGACCTTTTCTTCCTCCTTCCGAAGATATTTCTCTGTTTTTGCATTCACCCAGCAGGCCCAACAACTGAGCAGTCCTCCCTTCTACTTCCCTCAGCTCTTACATTCAATCATTGATGTAGTGTAATAATCAGGGCAGTCCAGCAATAGGCTGTGATTTACATATTTCATAGCTGTTGCAGGTCTATTATCTCATTGACCTTCAGACAACCCCTTGAAGGGAAGTGGAATAACTAGTTTTACTCCCTGATTAAAACACAAAGAGATGAAGTAACTTGCTCATGTGCTGTCTGGTGACAAACTAGAAAACAAGTCTTCTGACTCTCAGGTTCAGTTTTCTTTCCATTCTCTTTCTGCCTCCCCTATTTTGGTCAATCATGACCCTCTGAAATTTGTCTCTTTGCCTCTAGCTCTTCTTAGCTTAGTTTTCTGAAAACACTTGGGTGCTCTTGGGAGGAAGCCTGCCTTGTTTTGAACAGAGGTTACAGATCACTATGATTTTGGGCAAATATTTCTTAAAATGAAGAAAGATGGCTTCAAAAAATAATGACTGACAAAATTCCAATGCAGCCAAAAATATAATACATTCATGTGCCACTAGAGTGCAGTAACAAAGTGACCTTGAAAGTTCTGATAAGAATGGTGCTCCAAAACATTGCCATGTATCGCTATTGCTGCATAGTTTACCAAGCCAAATGACCTATGGGCTCTGGTCTTTACAGGACCTTGGTTTTTAAATGCCTTTTCTATGAGACATAAATCTTTTTTGTTAGTCAATCTTCCTGGAGTTTTTGTCAGTGTAATGGCTCATATAAAATTAAATCTTTATAAAACAAAGCTGACAGGTGTTTGATGTTGATTTCCCCCTAGTATTTTAATTCTTTAAAATACATTCAGATTCAAGCTGCCATAAGCTGACATTGTTTCTCCAGGCCACTTCTCCTTGGGCAAATCTAGTCTAATTTGTACAAACTGTGTTTTTCTTTTCTAGCCTCTTTCAGTAGATAGATTTCAACTTGTGAGGCAGTGGGAACTCTGGATTCTCCTTGACATTTCCAGTGACGTTTGAAAAGATACTATGGCTCATTTTTTTAGTGGTTAGTGAACAGGGAACCTCCATCCTTTTTTCTTAGAGAGCTGGAATCTTTTCAATCGACCTTGAAGCAGGTTTCTGCCACCTTTACTTTGAGTTTTAATGCCCTCCTACCCAAAAGGGAGGTTCTAAAGTAATGTACATTTGTTCTAATTGATGGGGGGAGGGGAGACAGTCACTTAAAATACATCTTGGGAAGAGGCAAATTAGAGTATTCAGCTTTGTAATGAAAAAACAATACAGAGGTATTAGAGTTTTTCTTCTTTTTAAATGTTATAGTATGGAGTGACTTTTATCTAATTTTCAATTAAGTATAATTTTTAAAAGTAACCACAATTTTAACATTTAAGCGTGTTACAGTCAGAAAATAAACAAGCCCAAATACTCTGTTTCAGCATTAGTCATTGTTTGTTTTTTAATTTTTTTAATTTATTCCATGGACTACTGTGCAGTTGTAGGTAATTGTTTTTTGATACGTGACATCTGTGCCCTAATTAGATCCTTTTATGTCTTCACAGACAGCTGAGAAATATAGTCTCTAAATAAGAATTGTTTCAAGGTATATTTAGTCCATCTTCTAGTCTGAAACTTATTAAATTTAAAGTTCTTTCTGGGAAATTGTCATATTTTCACAGTTTTGAATCAATGCATTTACCCTTGGGCTCATGCGATGCCATGAAAGGCAACGTATGTATGAAATTTCTTTCGTGGCCCCAAGGTTGCGATGAAACCCTATAGCATGATACACAGGAAATTCAGCTCCCCAGATGTGCTGGTCTACTCTTCCTTTCAGGATTGTTCTTGATCTAAGAATAGCATTTCAAAAGGAAATTTGTTTATTTTAACAGACTTTTTAAAAAATGATGAAGTCACTTACTCACCAGAAACAAAGACCAGAAACCAATTTATAAAGCCAGTGTCCAAGAATTTAGGGAGTTGATTCTGATGTAAGAAGACAATGGATAAAGTATTTTTCAGAATTCAATAAAAAAATTTGCAGCAAATCTACCAAAAACAAATAATAAGAGAAAAACCAATGGTGATGGATTTATGTTCATGTGGAGCATGTACTGGTTTAAATCAGTGAATAACTACATGGTTATTGAATTCAAAAACTTATATTTAGACCCAGTTATCTATTCATTTAACTAAATGAAATGAAGTTTATGGAGATTCGCTTATAAGTCATGTGTCACTTAATGACAGGGAAACATTCTGGGAAATGCATTCTTAGGTGATTTCCTCATTGTGCAAACATCACAGAGTGTACTTACACAAACCTAGATGGTTGCACCTATTACACACCTAGGCTATATAGCATAGCTTATTGCTCCTAAACTATAAACCTGTACAGCATGTTTCTGTCCTCAGTTCCGTAGGCAACTGTAATGCAATGGTATTTGTGTATCTAAACATAGAAAAAAACAGTAAAAATACAGCACTGTAATCATATATGTGGACCATTATGCGATGCGTGACTGTTAATACCTAATATTTCAATTATTAGATAGTTACCTCAAACACTTAGTATCTAGTAAATAAACTTATTTTATATTATTATCTAGGAGATTTATTTGAAAATTACTGCAGAAATGATGACCTGGTAACATTTGGAAGGTTTTGTTATGGCGTCACTGTCATTTTGACCTACCCGATGGAATGCTTTGTGACTAGAGAGGTAAGCACAGTTTCTTCCCAACACTTTACCCAGCTGGTCTCTCTGCCACATTTAATTTAGGAAGATTTATAAATACTGCAGTTTGGCAAATTTCCAAGGGCATGACAAATGGTATAACTTGTAAATTTTTCTTTTCTGACTTTAAAATGTCAGAGTTTAAAGATGAATTTAAATTCAGATGTTTACAAGACAATTTTTCAAAAGTTGGGTTTGAAAATTAGGTTCGGCGGATTTGAATTATATTACCATGAGCACAAATGTGTATGCAACTGCATTCCAAAGTGACTGTAAGCCTTTAGCAATAGCCAAACTAAAGTTGCTGCCTTTAAGGCATTCTTACAAAGAAATTAAGTACCAAGGTTTAAAACATGTTTTACAAAACTGTCTTTTTCCTTAGATGTTTTATCAGTCAACGTGTATTAAAGACACTGTAGATTCTACAGTGCTCTATGGATTCTAACTCGTTTTGTTATTTTTCAAAAACTAAAATATCTTATATTCCATGGAGAACCAAAATTTAGCTGAAACTTTTAGCTTTACAGATATATTTTATTTATATATTTATATATGTGGATGTATATATTTACAACTATATTTAACATATAAGTAATCACATAAATATATAGAATGTTATTTACATATAAATATATTTTATTGTCAAAGCCAGCTCTAAATTGCATTATATATTCCACCTGGATTTGTAGAGAAAGACTAGCCAAGAGAGAATTCATTCTTTTGGTGTAAAATTGGATAACATGGCCTGTCAGGAATCCTTTATGCTATCAGCTAAAACTCCACCATACCAGTTAGCAGTAAAACATGATCCTGCTTCACAGTGGGTCTTTCAGGGACCACACTGAAAAGGGCTCAGTCATAGAATCTGTTCCTAGAGGCTGTTTGTGCAGTGCACCATGTGAAAGAGTCTAATGTGCAAAGTGAAATATCTACAGAGCTTTAAATACATTCAGTAATCCGCAGGCTTCTTGAGGCAGGCCAGGGCTTACCCTAAGCCAGTTCCAGAGATAAGGAACTGACCACACAGCGAAACAGAAGAGGGAAATGTCCAGCACTGTGCATGTCCTTTACAACTAGCACTCCTCTCCCTTACACACATACATCTCACAGGCCAGTTCTCTACCTTGACTATAAAGGAGAAATAGACTGAACTATTTTTTTTTTAATGTAAGAGCCCTTCAAAACTGTACTAGCTATTGTTAGATGCAGGAAATGGCATCATTTTAGCTTCTGCCCAGTACTTAGGTTCAAATCTGATCTCTAGATCAGTAAGAACAGATGGTGCATTCTCACGTGGTTTCTAGTAAACTGCCTGTAGGCGGTCTGAGTCACTTCACCTGCACAACTTCTGTCTTTCGTACTTGAAACTTGAGTTTCCTTTCTAGCTGCTATGACAGGAAGACAGAACTAAATCAAAATCTCTGCCACGATAGCAAATACTCAGCAGAGGAATGGTATCTATACCATTCCCTTCTCTTGCTCTTCATTCTGCATGCACACACACATACAGACACAAATGTGCAACTGACAAAAATGTAATAGAAACGTTTCAATTCATAAAAGCACTGAAAAGGCTGTCTACCCTTAATAAATCTTACTGGCTGCCTCACTAAGTGATTTTTCACTCTCACAATTACATCATAGAGGCATCTGTAAAAATGGATTTTAAATAAGATAATATTTGGAGAGACATTACAACTTCTGTTATTAATACCACCATTAAATTATTAGCAAAGTCTTGGCAGTATGTGACATATGGGAAGTGTTGCATATCCAGGCAGCCCAGCTTAGAGAGATGACTTCTTTATGATACCTCAGCCTGTGACCCTCTCCTGTCATTTCCAACTCTTGCTTCACTGTTATTTTGCACAGTGTCACTAATCATTCAGACTATCTTCTCTTTACCCTCCATAGATATCGTTCCTGTTCTTATCTCTTTGCTCTTTTACATGCTCTTGCTTCAGCCTGTAATTCTGCTACAAATCCTACCAAGGTAGGTCAAGCATTTCAGGGGTGCTGTAAAGGAGATTACTCTAAGGAGACAGCTCTAGATACTTAAAGCTTCTTCTAGTCCTAAATTCTGTTTGATCTTTTTTGTCCTGTTATAAATTGATCATAACTTGTTTTTTTAAGTTTGACTGTATACCTCCAAGAATGAATTCTTGAGAAAAGGAATCATTTCCTTGGCATTGTATCTTTGCAAACCATATCATAGTATGGGACACATTAAGTAGGCCATTTTTTATTGCTTTTCTGATCTGAGTAGTAATGAAAAATGGTGATGAACTCTTCCTCATTTTTGGTGAGAAAAGGCAAGATAAAATAGACTTAAATTGTAACAAATAGGAATTCATTTATATAGGATTAATTTACTGTTAGTAAAGGATATTAAACATCCAGTACTATTAAAGGAAATGTGATAGCTACTTTTTAGAGGCCATGCAAATAATCTAAATAGTATGCCTAGTTTGTTATAGCAGTAACCTTGTTGGACTCAAGAAAAAAGGATACGATAACTTTCCAAAGTCTCTCTTACACTTGAAAGACATATGTATTGAAACATTGGTATGCCACACTATAGATCTGTAATATAATCCACTAATAGTTCAGGAAGGAATACTTGTTATTGATATGCGTGTCTATATTTAAGTACTTCGGAAAAAATAGAACATTCCTAGTGACTTGAGATTTGATTAATAGTCTTATTGGTAGTACTTTATATACTCCTAAATGCTATTATGAAATACTTCCTCAATAAATCCTGCATGCCTTTCAAAGTCCCTCTCATAATAATCTGTTTATTCGGCAGGTGATTGCCAATGTGTTTTTTGGTGGGAATCTTTCGTTGGTTTTCCACATTGTTGTAACAGTGATGGTCATCACTGTAGCCACGCTTGTGTCATTGCTAATTGACTGCCTTGGGATAGTTTTAGAACTCAATGTAAGTACATTTAAAGATTTACCTTTTCACTCTAAATTTTTCCTTAAAAGATGATGATTACATTTAACATAAGATGTATTTTCCTTAACAAAAATGTCACTTTTTGAAGTGGAATGAAAATATGTTTGTAATAGTAAATATTTTCAATGATGATTCTGTGTGCTTTATGGGACTCTATAGTTTTAAAGCCATGGTTGTTTGGAGACATACGGGGTCGTCATGACTGGGTAGGCAGTGCTGTTGGCCTCTAGTGGGTAGAGGCCAGGGATACACATCCCACGATGTGCCGGCCTCTCACAGCAAAGAATTATCCCATCTAAAATGTCAATAGTGCTGAAGTTTAGAAACCTTGGCTTAGAGTACTTTCGCATATTTCATTTACTATATAATACATAGGTGTTACTAAAAAATAACTATAAATTAAGTGGATTTTGACTTTGCTGAATAATAATATATCTAGTGAAATTTATGAAAAATATGAAAGGATTTGAGTTACATCTATTCACTCGCTATGACATAATTTCTTTTTCTTTAAATATTTTTCTCTCTCCAGACCTTTCTTTTGTAGTCTGCACTGCCATGATATAAACAGAAGTCCTCATAATATCACAGCTGAATTAATCCCAGCTCTGTTTCAACTATCATATATTTAAGTTCTGCTTTCACTTTATCGGCATCCTGCTAAAAAGTTTCCATCTTCCTACCAGAGCAAGTATAAATTATGTTGCTTCTACAGGCTTGTCCTCTATGTAAAGTATTTCCTATTTACTTCTGAAAATCTATGCTCAGCTCTAGTCAGTCTCATTTTTTGGCCTGTGAATAACTCATATCAATTCTTTCCATTATTCTTTGTCTTATCTGCTTTTTATTTCCTATCATGATTATTTTTCTTTCATTTCTATCCAAATTTTATGAAGATCTTAAGATCCAGTACAACTTCTAATTCCTTTATTCACCAATCATATATTTATTGAGTAATTACTATGTGCCACACAATAGAATATAAGGATGAATGCAATAAGACAGGATCTATGCATTCTCACAAAGAAACATAAAAGTCCAGCTGCAATATAGATGATGAAGACAGAGGAAGCCGGTCACAAGGGCTCACACTGTAATCTCAGCATTTTGGGAGGCCAAGGTGGTTGGATCCCTTGAGCCTGGGAGTTGGAGACCAGCCTGGGCAACATAGCAAAGCTCCATCTCTACAAAAAATTAGCCAGGTTTGGTGGAACTGCTGTAGTCCCAGGTACTCGAGAGGCTGAGATCAGAGGATTGCTTGAGCCCAGGAGTGGAGATGGTGCCACACTGCACTCCAGCCTGGGCAACAGAGTGAGACCCTGTCTAAAAAAAAGAAAAAGAAGAAGAAGAAGAAGCCAGAGGGAAGTGGATGGATTCCCAAAACACATTTTTGAGAAAAGATTGGCACAATTTGGTAACACAGATTTCATTGGGAAGACATGGGACAGAATGACTTCTTGGTTTTATTCTGTGGAACTAGAATAGTGATGCCATTTGCTAAGCCAGGAATGGAAGTTGTTCTCCCACTACAAAGTGGTTAATCTCCTTCTATAATCCGTACAGAAGTTCTCATCAGAATCACCCACCATTTAGCATTTATTGGTCGTGCATCACAGGGAAGGGAAACCCGTATAGTTGGGATCCCAAGTCGTCATTTACTCATTTCATTGAGAAATGAGGCATAGGTGACGGTATTATTGTCAGTTCTCAAGTTACTACATCCGCCAGATGCCATTTTGATTTGAAACTCCATACAAAGGCAGGCGGGAATTCAGTCAGGGATCCTACTGGGGACTTTCTTACAAATGGAAAGTAGAGTGCAGGCAGTTTTCATAACCTGAGGGAACTGGAGAATTGTCTTTTCCACCAACAGTGGAAGGAAGGAAAACTCATAGGAAAGTAAGCAAGTGCCGAAGTTAACTTTTACCTTCTTCCCGATTTTGCATAGGCCAAATACCATAGGAAAATACATCTTATGTTAAATGTAATCATCATCTTTCAAGGATGATTACATCCTAAATAATTTTGAGTAGGGCCACTAAAAATTATTTCACATACCGACCTTGATTTGTGTAGATGGATCACTGCTACATTAATGTGCTGACTTAATTTATGTATTATCTCGTGTAATGTATTGTAACGGTCTATAACATTTCCTTACCTAACAATTGGTAAGCTCTTTGAAGAATACTTAACCACCCCCTCCCTCCTCCATAGTATTTGGCACAGTGCTAAGAACACAGTGCTCAAAGTATTGCATGGGTGATTGCACCTTGGGACTACAGTTCAGGATCTATTTCTATAAATATTCCTAGACATAAGATACTTTCTGTAATGTAGTACCAGGAAATGAAGTGTTATAAAACATGGTTGGTGTTGACAGTAGTAGTAATCTTTCAGCTATGCTGTGGAGATAATCAACATAATGATCTCCAAACCCTGCTTTTTCCTATTTTACAAATTATCTTGTTTGAGTCCATAAATTTGTTTGTTGATATTTTAGGATTTTGTTGTGAGACAAAATATATTTATTATCTGCCTGAACAGTCACTACATCTTCATAGCACAACAAATTTTTTTGTTTTCAAGTTAATCAAGTGCACATATATTGCTCATTTTTTCAGGAATGGTATATTTTTTGTAAATCTAACCATTACTTTCTGTGAAGTTAATTACTGATCTCCATGGCATTTGCACAACAAAATTGTAGGCACATAATCATATTAAATATCCTCTATTATATTTACATTGGAAATTTTTTTGGTTAAGACAGAATTCTGGTATTACAGAGTAGTCATAGAAGAGTACCTTCTGAATATCTATTATAAAGTCAAGATCTGAGCTGGTCCTGGAGGACTATTTTTAAAATTTAACATATAATTCAAGATCTTTAGATTTTTTTTAAAGATCTTTAGATGTTTTAAAACCTGATTATATAGACGTACATTAAAAATTAGAGTGCTAAATTGTCTGTTATGACATAAGAATCAAAGACAATTACACTAGTTTTAAAACACTTTGCAAGAATTAATAAAATCTAGGATCCATTCTTAGACCACTTGAGAATATGTGTTTTTCACCTCAGTAAGCCTTTTGGTGTGTACAATAACATATTCAAATCTTACTCAACTCCTTTTTGTGTGGGCACTTTCCATGTCTAATAGAGCCAAATCAAGCATCATGTCTGTCAGTAACTAATACACACTGGATCACGCAACACATTAGAAGTGACAAAGCATGCTGTGTTCTGCTTCATAATAATAATGTGGGCCAAGAGCTGTGGCTCATTATACGTAATAATACAATAATAACATCATCATCATCATAATGTGGGCCAGCACTTTGGGAGGCTGATGTGGGTGGATCACCAGAGGTAAGGAGTTCGAGACCTGCCTGGCCAACATGGTAAAACCACATCTCTACTAAAAAATCCAAAATATATTAGCCAGGTGTGGTGACATGTGCCTGTAGTCCCAGCTACTAGGGAGGCTGAGGCAGCAGAATCACTTGAACCCAGGAGGCAGAGGTTGCAGTGAGCCAAGATCACCTCATGACACTCCAGCTTGGGCAACAGAGCGAGACTCCATCTCAAAATAGTAATAGTAATGTGAGCTTTCATATATTGAGTACTTACTCTGTACCAGGTACTTTGCATGCATCATCTACTTTTATCTATATTCAGTGGACAGATGAAGAAACTGAGGTACTGCATGATTAAATAGTCTGAGGCCATTCTAGTTACAAGCAAAAAAAATCAAGATTTGAACACAGGCATTTGGACCCTAAAGCTCACATTTTAAATCATTATACTGCTCTGAGATTTCCTAAGCATAAGATTTTAAATTATGTAAAATAATTATTCCCATTTCTCTATCCACTTTCTTAAGTTATAAAATCTATGCATTGAGTTTATCTGTAAGAAAGGTTAAGAGTAATCTATGATACATATATAGAGACTTTAATAAATGGGTTAAAACATACCAGGAGATGAAATAAAATGGAACTAAAAGGTTTTTGTCTTAATAATTTTTAGTTAATAACTTTCATCTTAGTAATTGTAATACTTTAGAAATGTAGCTAATAGCTTTTATCTTAGGTAACAATTTTAGGACTTTATTCTTTTTCATTTTGGCTTCTGAGCTTCACAGATGAGATTAATAATGAGCTTCACAGATGAGATGAATAATGAGCTTCACAGGTGAGATGAATCAGATCTTGCAAAGTTAGGGAAATGCTACTATTTAGTATAACAAAATAATATGGAATAAAATGATTTGAGATTGTATTAGTTATTAAATTTAAAAAATTAGAACTTTGCTTTCCTTTTGTTTTTTTGTTTTCATGGCAATAGACAACAATGAAATATTTTTCCAAAGCAAACACACACTAAGTTTTTAAAGGTTTCATTTCAGAAGCAAATCAAATAAACGTAAGCACTATTCTTGGTAACAAGAATCTAGCATCTTAGCACTAATGTTGCTATTAGAGAAAAGAGGCATCTACAGTAATTGGGCCCTATGGGTTTCTGCTTGCCGCAGAACAAAGAGAGAAAATGAAGCAGCTGGTGCCTGTGGCCACCTTAACCAACTCATCAAGCATAGTATGTAGTTTACAGTGGAAGGAAGAAAGCAAGCCAAATGCCAGCAAGAGCCCAGATAGAGAAATACAGCCTTCAGGGTGAGCGAGCCTTAGTCCCAGTTGCCAAAGATTTCCTGAGCAAGAGAGACTTTCTTTTTAAAATATAGGAGTGAATTTCAGAATTTAGATTGATTACAAAGTAGAAATTTAAAAGATGTTTAAACATTATTTTATTTAGTTTCCAGCTTCCTTGCATCATTTGACAGATTTCTATACAGATAGGAAAGCTCAGACCCTTTTTCAATCTGTACTGGCAATAAAAATCTTCAATAGCTTCTGTTCTTTCCAGCAAGTTGCAAAATGCCCTGGCATCCATAGTGTTATTATCAATTAATAAGTAC